AGAAAAAATGAGAGGTAAGCAGACACCCTTTGATAAAACGTTCTGCACATTGAATACTCTAAATTAAGTAGTATCATTATTTGACAGACGTCAGTAAATTCGACTTTCGGATAAAGCAATAAAAGTTGTTTAATTAATAGGGATGAGGTTCAAAGTCTGATCAAGTATAAAGTCTTGATAAAAGTGTTAAATCGGAATTCCGCCCAGGTAGTAGTACTCCTGGTAAAATAGGGATGAGGTTAAAAGTCCGATCAAGTATAAAGTCTTGATAAAAGTGTTAAGTCGGAATTCTGTCCAGCTGGTAAACTAGGGATGAGGTTCAAAGTCCAATCAAATGAAGTCTTGATAAAAGTGTTTTAGGTCGTCCTTTTCAGGTATAAAGTCCTGAATAAAATAGATTAGGGTTGCAACAGGTCCTCTAGAGAATTTTGGGTCGAAAGGCCTGGAGCTTATGAGTTGAATTTACAATCAACTTGTAAGTATAAACTTTCCAGATGAATTAAAGTAGTTAATTTTGCTATTTGAAATTGATATAAAAGCCGGTAAAAATTTATATATTAAATGTTGTATGTCTGTGAGTTATTGTAATGTGTTAAAAAAAATTGTGGATGTCTACATGTAATGTTTTAATCACAAATTTAAAGTACCGAATAAAAATAAGATTGAGGAGAGGTTCCAGACAGAAATGTCCACATAAGGAACACGATCCCAATCATGTAAAGAGTAAGAGATAAAAACTAGTAAGGACACAGGGATAGATTTGTTGTTGGTTTTCCAGCATAAAGGATTTTGAGTAGGGTTTGAGGCAGGATGAAAAACAAAGGAAAACGTAGTAGGAAAATTGTAAGGTGGTGCTATGAATGTGCACAAGAGAATGACCGACCCGACTTTGGACTATAGGCTTTGACTGACTGTACATGGGCCCACAATGACTGACTTGAGACTGTGACTGTTTTCTTTGGCCAATAACGTATATATTCAAAAAGGGGAAGCGATTCTCCCAGAATTCGTGTGGGAGACCAACTAACCTGCTTTATTCCACAGGCGGAGGAAAGCGCTGCTGTTATTGTAAAACTAACACTATGACTAACTGTTGTAAATAATTTGTTTCAAATGTTTACAGGATATGGTGGAGTTGCTTTTTTATGTCTGATTACGTGTTCCATGTTTGTCTTGATGTTAACCTGTTTGTGCTGTTTGATGTTCGTTCACAGCAAAATCAAGCGAGTTGTTTGTTCAGTGTTATTTTTTCTGAGTTACAAAGTTAATTTCTCTGACATTAACACTTGCAGTGAAAATCAATGGTAAGAGTCAGAGTAATTACAGCGAGTTGACGTTGCAACACTTCTGATGAGTAGATTCAATTTCCGGTCCTTGCACGTTACTTCCTGTATGTCTAATGGCGGATGACCACTCAAGGCGAGAGCTGCAAAGGTTGGTTAAAAACTGTCTTTACATAGTTAATATTACTTTTAACAGTGCTATGTTCGACCTTGACTTTGTAATATTCAAGATTATGTGGTGGCAGATGTTATTTATTTGAATTATTAAACCGTGTTAAAACAAACGAACGGAAATAGCACAACAGTAATTTAACCTACGTAATTTCTCCTGGCCAGGTAACGTTATAACATTAACCGTGTTTTATCATGATATACGTTAGTTAGTTAATTAATTAGTTAGTTAGCTAACTTATAGCTATATGTATACTTGTTGAAATGCCTAGTGTGTGCGCGCGCTTAATTTGCAATGGCGCCGGACCGCGGTTACTAGCTACAGAGTAAGACGGCTAATAATGCCGTTTAAGTTCAGCAAGAAACTGCTGTAAAGAAACGGTTTGTTAAAATTGTATTTCCTGGTCAGGTATGACAGTATTTTCATGTTTGCTCATGGTATACACGCATATATATTACGTGCGCGCCTTTAGTCAACAATGGCGCGCATTCTTAAGTTTAAACGTAGTCTGTTTAATGTCATATAGAAGCTGCACCGTCGTCGTCGTCATCGTCCAAGCTGCATGCTGCCCCAGTTTTGAAACTTTCAATCATTTGCTAATGTGACTATTTGCTTTTTCTATCAACAGATTTCATCATGTTGATGAAAGTGCATTGTCAAGGTGTGAAGAAATTTGTAAAATTGCCTAACGATTTTACATTCCAAGATTTTCTCAGTGAAGGTAAGTGCAGGTTGGTTGTGCTAATGTTTAGAAATGTGCTTATTAAAGTTGTGAAAAAATGGCTGTGTTGGAGGCATAAAATCAGTGCACAGAACTTTTCTTTTGCCATTAATGTGTGACTTAAACATGAAAACTGAAATGTTTATGTTCATGTGTATTTGATCAAATTATTTTTCAGTTTAAAGCAAATTTGGGTTTGCAAGCACTGCAGCTCTTCAAGTCTTTGATGGCACAGACACCAATGTGGAAGAGGACATCTTCCAAGAACTGATTGAAGCCAATCCACATTTATGTTTAACTGTTAAATGTCTGGAAGAAGTTTCTGCTGGCCTGCCAGAGGGTAAGCAAGCAGTGACACCACAGACATTTATATAAGGGATTTATACAATAAATGTTATTTCTTAAAATCAGAAATGTAACGAATTTACAACATTTAGAACATTTAGTATAGTAGTGTAAATAAAATTAATTTAAATTAAATTGGATTTAAGTTAAGTTGAAATTAATACTTTTTCAAAAAACCTGAAAATTGTTGATTTTGTTTCAGTGAATTCACCAACAAGATCCTCGACCCCCAGCACATGCACTGATATTCCTTCAGTTTCTTCAACTGACCATGATGAGGCAGACAGCAGTGGACAGGCATTTTCTACGGGATAGCAGTAGAGGGACCTTGAATGCTGAAAAGACAAAACGGGTATGTATACATATGTTTTACCTTATGGCTAATTTGTCCATTTAATTATTTTCTTTTACCATTTTTCTTGTCTTATTCAACATAACTATGACTATGCTTAATGTCAGATTCTCCAAGGTGCCCTGGAAAACCAATCTGGTGGTGAGGAAGTCTTTGAAGAATACCAGGCAACTAAAACTTTGAAGAACAGGACCAGACGCCAACTTGTCAATATTGTTGTCAGTCACATGACCGAGACTTACGGGTAAGATTTCGTGCATAAACACAATAATAAATAATAATAATAAAAACAAACAGATTCCCATAAAAGCTTTGTCAACTGTGTAAAAAAAAAAAAAAAAAAAAAAAAAAAAAATTTCACTGGATTTTTATACAATTTATAGGAGGATCCCCACCCGCAAACAGCATGAGACTTATGCTTTAAGAATCGTTACTTTCTTTCCTTCTTTGAGAGACCCATTTTCAGCAAAGGGCTATGTAAGAACACATTTTAAATTACATGTGAATATATGAATTTTTTTTTAAACTGATGTCAGACCATACCAAAACATCTCATCTTTCTAATAGGAACATTTCTACGATCCAGAGAAGGGGACGGGGTTTATCTCTTGGTGCCTTAAAACTTTGTCAAGGAAGAACCCAAAACTTGCTTTCTCTGAGATTTCTGAAACAGGAGGACCACGTCGCCGTAGAAGAGTAGACGATGGAGAACAGCTTGAAGGAGATGCATGCAGGGAGGCAATTACTTTCCTTGTCCACACAGCCGATGAAGCTGAAGTTATGCAAAAGATGAGGGAAACCTTTAAGCATAGACAAGAACTTGTACACAACCCCAGAAGATCAGCTGAAGTGCTTAAGGTGTTCCCAAGATTTTTGGATGTGAAAGCATTGGTGAATATAACATTCTTCCTTTATAAAGATTAAGATTTTAAGCATGTAATTTCTTAGAATTCATATTTCTTCCTTAATTTTAGTTACTTATGTAGTTATGGTTCTCCATCATTAGGTAAATCAAGACTTTGGTCTGCTTTTCGACGCTGATACATCCAATAGGTTGCTTGAGAGGTGGGAGACGGCTTTCAAGCCTAAGATCATCAGTGAAGCGAAATGTCTTACTTCAACAGCAGAAATTCAGTGTCTGCTCAATTCAGCAGTGGGACACGGATCTGAAAATGGTTGGCATGACAATATTGTAGTTTCAGATTAGCTTTCTTGTATTTTTGTAATTCTAAAACTCCCCTTCACCACAACCACTTATTCAGATTGGGACAGTGATATGTCTTCTGTCCTGCTGCTGTTGCATCTTCTGCCACCTTCTCCTGGGAGGAAGAGGACTAGGATCAGTCTAACAGAGGCTATTGAAAGACTTGTGCATTTTCATAAGGTAAGATTCAGTTTTACTGCATAGGCTTTGTGAATGTTTATTTTTATAGTTTCAGATACCATAATGTGGCACTGTCTAAATATGTTTTGGACATTCTATTGATCTGCAGAGCTTTGATCTTCCAATTAAATTCTTCATTTGTGCTTTGAAGTAAGTTCCATGTGTTTTGGGTGGCCTGAGGGTGTATGAGCACATTTTTTAGGGTGAAAAATTTGGTGATACAAAGTGAATTTATTTTGCACCTATTAAATTAAGGTTTATTTTATATTACATTAATTTATATAATGCATTTTTCATCAATTAGTTCAGTACTAAGTTTATTACATTTCTAATTTCAGTTTTCTTTGTATATTCCAATTTTTGTTTTGCACTTCTATTTTCTAGTCTTGCACCAGTATTGAAGGCCTTCTCAATGGAAGAGAAGGCCACCAGCCATACCTACTTGGATCAGGAAGGATGAAGGGCAGAATTGACAAATTCTACATGGTTGTGGACAAGCAGCTCGTCCCTTGCGCAGGAACCAGCTCTTTGAGTGCTGTAGATGAACTCTTCAAAGTCAACTATGTGTTCAACTTGTCATATGAGGAAGCCCTTGTCAACATCTTCACCTTCTTGCAGACTACAGTCTACAACATCGATGTTGGTATTACCGGTGAGTCTCCTAGAGTAAAAGAAATGCGTGCAAAGCTTTTAAACTAGGTTAAATGGTCAAGTGTTTCTCCTGTCAGAGTTTGCATGCAAATAGCCACTGTTTATCTCATTTGAGAGTCTCGCACAGTTTCTATCCATTGTTGAAGTTTAAGTTATGTGCACAAAGTAGTTGTAGCAGACAGTTTTGTACATATTCGGGTTTTTGAAAACATTTAAACAATGTTCATGTTACTGATGATAGTCCAGCTGTTCATTTGTCCTCTAGTGAAGAGCCCGCTCATGTTGATCAGCAATGTTCTTCTTGTGTTGAATCTGATCCCCAAGTTGCTCCCATTGACTCAGTTGAGAGAAATGTGACCCATTCCAGAAGAGAGACTGTGGATATACAGTTGGTACGGAAAGTATTCAGACCCACTTAAATGTTTCCCTCTTTGTTATATTGCAGCCATATGCTAAAATCATTTAAGTTCATTTTTTTCCTCATTAATGTACACACAGCACCCCATATTGACAGAAAAACACAGAAGTTTTGACATTTTTGCAGATTTATTAAAAAAGAAAAACTGAAATATCACATGGTCATAAGTATTCAGACCCTTTGCTCAGTATTTAGTAGAAGCACCCTTTTGAGCTAATACAGCCATGAGTCTTTTTGGGAATGATGCAACAAGTTTTTCACACCTGCATTTGGGGATCCTCTGCCATTCCTCC